TGTTCATTTTTATTATTAAGAACATTTTACGACACAAAATTTGCATAGCTGGGCTGGCTACGCCGCTGTAACGACGCGATCATATAACGCCTAGTAGGCGTCTTGTTACATATAAAGCACGTGTTTTTTTGCCTGTTGATTTCCAAAAGCTGTTTGAAAATATTGACATTTCACCCTATTGTTTCTTCAATTGACGATATTGACGATACGAATTTCTATGTTGATTTGTACTATATTACACTGGTGAAATTTGACTCATGAAATCGCAGGATCGAACTATCTAAATTTTCCCGCAAAATCCGAAAGCAACCATCCTCGTAGTACAATTTTCTTTAAGAATTAACTTCAAGATATTAAAAATTTTATAATAAAAGATAATATGAAACCAGACATTTTTCTCCGATTTTATTTTTCTGTAACTTACCCATTGCAATACCCAGGCTTGTCAAGTAGTTCACGTTGTTCCTGTGGAAAAGGGGACGCCCTTAGAATTGCCAATGATAGTGTAGTGGTATTATAGCATGAACACCGCTTAAAAATAGTAGTAATCCAGAAAAGAAGAGGGGTTAGAGACTCTCCTTTCAAAATATATTACAAAATTTCTACTTGTTTTCGTACGAAGAATTTAAAACTGCGGAGTCGGGTACTGTTTTGAGGATTCAAACAAACATCTGATGTTTCTTGATGACATGTGGATTTTGAAGTTCCACTGGTATATCGCTGTAGGATGAAATAAGTTCCGATTAAACTTCCTGCAGTTACACGTAATTGTAAAGATATGAATCCGATCAGCATAAGTATATCGCTCATGCATATATATGTTGAGTTGAGCCTAAATTTAGTGTGTATATTTAATATAGTGAATACCAAACAATATCTGACGATACTGTATACGCCAATGGCAATGGCCGAATAGCCCAATATAAACATCTCTTAGTGGTAGTACCTTGTTGCAGCAAATTATAGTAATGACACGTCTTTGCATGATAACACCTTTGTATGGCACAAATGCCTCTGAAAATAGTCAAGAGAACTTTCATGAACTGTGGGGATTACTACCTTATTTTAAGGGCAAAATATCGCGAGGGTGGTTATACAACCTGTGCACCTATACAGTAGATAGTAAATTATTCAGTGTATCGACCGTGTAAGAAAATGGGTACATGGTATGTAGAATTTGAGCTACAAGCCTATTTACCAACGGTCAATGAAGTCATTTACACTTGCCTTGGCCGTGTGTGTTTCTTGTTCAAGAACCTGGGGGTGAATGCACAGCTGGTCACCTGATCCTGGCACACATACTTTCGGTCTCAAACAAAAATCAATAGAAAACGTCAATTTCAACAGTTAAATCTTCGTTTCCCGGTTTTGCTGACCTAAACGTGAGAAACACAGGAGTTTCTTGTAAAACATCCGAGGCTCGTATCAATTTTTTTGACGGTCTGTTATCAGGATGTGTTTGACTTGTATGTTTCGATCATAGTTTCATGTCCATAACTTGTTTCATGTCCAGGATGCACGAAATTATTCCTAACTTTTAATTCTAAACCTCACCCTAACCCTGACCTAATTGCTTATACTAAAAGATTTGAATCAAGGATTATATTCGCGGACACTGGACATGAAATTATTACCTATTTCCACCAAATCTGACAGGTTTTCAGCAGATTCGCCAACAAGCTTATTACTATACAAGGTTTTAAACTTGACAAGCCGTCTTAAATGTATGTGTTTAAAGACTTTGGTATTAATACGTCGAAAAAATACAGTAGACACCATACCTTTCTTTGGCAAACGACAAGAAACAGCAACGCTTGTTCTCTGCATGGGTTGCGAACGTTTTCATAAAATCCTTCCATTGCCTAAAACAGACCATAAATCCTTTGACAAACCTCAATCAGCTTGTTCATTGCGAGTTATTTAGTTGAACATAACCTCCTGATCAAAATGATCCGTTTTTCGTCCTCGTAAAAACGTACAGATGAACTGTTTAACTATATATTCATTTGTTAAAAAGTCTAGTCTTAAGATTTTGCTGGATGGCAATAGAACTAACCTCTGTAAATTCGTTTTTTCGTCGTGGCTCAACAAAAATAGTTTTTTGTGTCTCAAGTCGGTTCCATAGATCAAAACTCTTACAAAACAAAAGATAATCATTGTGAATTAACGTAACGGACTAGGATATGAAATATCGTTCCTATATCAGTTTTAACAACACACAAAACCCTAACCGATTTAGAATTTCGACCTAAGGAAGCACCATCAAAAGGTCCAGTAAGATTAATCTGTATAAAAATCACATTAGCTGTATTTATACAAGAGACGAACAATTCATCTGGACGAACCTGGGCAAATTTTATATTAAAAGGTAACATGAAACTAGACATTTTCCTACGATTTAATTTTTTTAACTTACCTATTGCAATCCCCATTTTTGTCAAGTAGTTCACGTTGTTCCTGTGGAAAAGGGGACGCCCTTAGAATTGCCACTGATAGTGTAGTGGTATTATTGCATGTACACCGCTTAAAAGTAGTAGTAATCCAGAAACGATGAGGGGTTAGAGACTCTCCTTTCAAAATATATATTAAAAAAATTTCTACCTGTTTTTGTACGAAGAGTTTAGAACTTTTGAGGATTCCAACAAACATCTGATGTTTCTTGATGACATGTAGGTTTTGAATTTCCACTGGTATATCGCTGTAGCATGAAAAGTTCTGATCAGATTTCCTGGAGCCACACGTAATTGTAAAGATATGAATCCGATCAGCATAACTATAGGGAATAGCCCAACTAGCAGAGAATAGCCTAAAATACGAGTTTCCCAATTAGAATATGAAATCGGTTTGTAATTCCTCAGATTTGTTGTAGAATTATACAGTAGAACTTCTTAACAGCGTCAAAAAGTAATGAAGAGCCGTTATAGGTTTCCTAAATCAATCACCGTTATTAAAAAATGACTATACAAAAGATCATCTTGTAGCTTAATGCTATGGTGGACGTAATTGATCACCTTTGACGCCACCAGCTGCTTTGCTGGTTGACCAAACATCCAGTTGCTTCCTCTTCCAACCGTCATTCGCTGGCTGTTGAACATGAACCTAAAAAACAAGAAACTTAATTTAGCTACAGCAATACATGAATTGTCTTATTTTTCATTAACTACCTGCCATGCAGAGTTTACTTTTAATACACACAGGTTGAGATGATTGCACCGTAAATGTGCCAGCTTGTTGCACATCTTTCTTTTCGCTCGACCCTAATGCATCGCCGTTCTGAAAAACTACCTGGGATGCTATAATGTGGAAAGATTGGACTAGATTTTATCCGTGAAAATGATTGTTTACGAAAATGATGTTTACAACAATTACGACACAAAGGAAACCAGGTTAACGACTGCTTGAAAACATGTAGATAAGGGGAGTTACAAGAAAGCTATTAAGCAATAAACGTCAAAAAATATCAACATACGAGCCCTTTCCCCAAATTTCTACACTAAGCTTTATCATGTCAAAGACTACTGTATACATACTTTCAAGGCGTCCGCGAACTGTCTTTGTATTGCACCCACCAATTTGATCTACATTGAAGAAGATTTGCTTAAATAATGTATGCATTTCATTTCCCAGTTTTAACAATATTTTGCTGCAATACTGGCATATTGAGTCATCCAGAGCTTGCTCCAACTCAATAATCGCCTAAAATCCTTTGCACATTCAAATTTAACAAATGAAATGTTGAAACAAGCTCGGAAACCACTTCATAAACTCACTTGCAACGGACAATGAAATCACTTTCTCGAGTGATTTCGTACTTTGACCAGAAGTTCGAAAATGTAACTGGGTGACAAAAAGACAAAAGACTGCAAAAGTTAAGGCATTTCTAACGAGGCTGCAGTCATATAATGCTTGTTTCAACAATGTTTTCAAATAAATTGTATACTGCACCTGCCGGGATGTGTAATTATTTGGACGATGAAGATGTTACAGTATGCAATTCTTCCTCTAGCTTCAAGACCAAGTCTGGAAAATAAACAAAATTGACCCAATTATAATACGAAATCAGGCTAGCAAATCACGTCAAAAAGAGGAGGCTGGGTATTATAAATGAACTAGCCGTAATCTGATTGGCTTGATAACCGATGCAAATCACTAGCTGTCCGCTGAACTGCGTACAGCTGAGAAGAGGTATACAAAAATATTCCTAGCCACCATTTTAGTATTCCTCAATTTCTATTCGTGGCTTCACCTACTACACGTTCCAGGTATATTTTTATTGATTATATTTACAAGAGGCCCATTTTGATGTGCGGTTTCAATCCTAATATCATGACTGGCAACTGAAAGCTATACATATACCTTTTATATATGCGATTATCTATTTATCCAAATCTCCATCATCTGGTAAACAGAAATACGAGATTTTTAACACAGCTGATTGTACAAAAAGGCGATCAACTATGGTTAGCGGCAGAATTGCTCAATCAGAATCCTCTCTTTAGGGGGTACATTGATATTTCGCAAAAGATTTCTTAATTTACGAAACTTTAAGAAACATACCAGGAAGCAATTCTAACAGTGGTATGACAACTTGAGGCGTTGGCGAAAGTTTAGTAAACTTTTCCAGATATGTTGGGAGCAGTCTAAGGAACGAAAATTTAGAAATTATTGCTCAAAAAATTTTGTATTTGTGAAGGAGTATCTCGCATAACAAGAGACGTTACATTTAGGCTGGAGTTTGTTGAAGTACATTTCTGTAAATTCACTGAGTGCATTATCAAGGCACGATTTCAAATATCTCCAAAGCAATATACTTATAAAACGCTGCAATTACTTAAATCAACTTCATTCTTTACAAAGTGCTAATGGACATAAAAAAGTCTCAAATTCCAGACTATCTTAAGTAGCCTTACCTTGCCATAACTGGCAAGGCATTTCTAACATACATATGGTGAGACAGGATACGCATAACGTCGCGGAATGAGCAACCAAACCAATCTCCAAAGTACGCATCAGACAAAACTAGACGAAATATACAACAACGTTTAAACGAGAACAGACAACCGCTGAAAATAAGCAGGTTCTTACCTGTTCATCTTGACCAATAAAAATGTTGTACGTACACAGCTCTGTTAATACCTTCACATGTTACAATAAAATCCAATTAAATTATTAGTATGGTATGATATAATTATGGTATAAATTCGTTATGGTATGGTATGGTGTGATATAATTATGGTATGATATGGTTATCGTATGGTATGATTTGGTCATGGTATGGTATGGTGTGATATAATTTTGGAATTATATGGTTATCGTATGGTATGATTTGGTTATGGTTAGTTATGGTATGATATGATTATATGATATGATTATATGATATGTTGTGGTATGGTTATGGTATGGTATAGTTTTGGCATAGTTATGGTAAGATATTATGATAGATGCAAAAAACTGAATGATAAGAACCGTACTGGAAAAATTCTAGCGAACAAATGAGGTCGGCGCATATCATGAGGAACACGAAATAATCCAGGAGAAAAATCATAATTTCAAACCTGAATGCAAAGTAAAATTTTTAGTTCATGATTTTGGTGTGAAAAGTGCACAACTTTACTTCCCTTGCCATTTTAGATAACACTGTACATATTAAACGTAAGTAGTGCTTTCAAGAATGTATCAAGTTTTTATCTTGCAGTGCCTCTGGAAAGTTTCTCAGAACAACATACAACACTTCCCATTCCAATTTCTAGAAAATGAAGAAAGTTGAACTTCAATCGAAACTTAATGCCAGATGATATATTATGATGGAAAAGTTTACCTGTTGTAAGCACACAAGAATAACATTCATTGCCTCGTTGTAAGGCAGTGAGACAATTTCGGTTGTCTTATCTTCTGCAGAACTAAAACAAAAGTGAGGATGTATTGAATTTGAATTTTTTTGAATTTAATCACTTTATTACCAAAAAGTAGAGGTAACAGGTGGCTGAACAGAGCATGGCCCCAATTGACATCAGCTACCGGTAAAGCAACCAGAGAGGTGCTGAAATCACCTAACGCTCGCCTGCACTGTTTGTCTAGAATAAGGCTAAACTCTGTATGAAAGGTATCTGTATGAAGCACAAATTACCGATCTTTTTATTACAAATTACAACTTTAACGTTGGACTATGTTTTATATACATAATCATTTATAAACACAATCTCAAAGTTTATAATTGTACATGTACAATACAAACAAATGGTAGCATACAGGTGAAAATATTTGAAAGTTTCTCATTTGGCTTAGGGTTGTACAAATACTTTCGTTAAATATAATTCAGCTACAACTTTGAACTAAAAAAAAAAGGGCTACACAATAGCCCTGAAAATCGTAATGAGCGTGATAACTCTGGATAACTCTAACATTGACCTTATCATGATGCTAATAAGCTTAACATTTGCCTTATCATTTGATAATTTTGAGCAAAGCTCTCTTTATTATTGTATAAATGAATAGTCACAATGCATATCGATGACTTATATTTATGATGATTCCTCTTATGTAAAGCCATAATATTTAAAAATATAGCATCTTAACATTGACCTTATCATTATGCTAATTAGCTTAACATTCACCTTATCATTTGAAAATTTTGAAAAAAATTCCCATTATTTTTGTGTAAATGTTTACTAAATGTCACCATATAGTCACAAGACATATCGATGAGCTATATTTATGATGAATCTTCTGATGTAAAGCCGTAATATTTAAAAAATATAACATCTTAACATTGACCTTATCATTATGCTAATTAGCTTAACATTCACCTTATCATTTGATAATTTTGAGCAAAACTCTCTTTATTATTGTATAAATGTGTACCAAATGGCACTAAATAGTCACAATGCATATTGATGACTTATATTGATAATGATTCCTCTGATGTAAAGCCAAAGTATACAAAAAATATAGCATTTTAACATTGACCTTATCATTATATTTTGTTGTATAATGTTCACTCCCCCTTGGTAAATGGTTCTTTCCCAACAAATAGACTCCTTAAGTAGATAATTTGAAAATAATGGGAATATAAAAGTGGCATCTTAACATTCTACTTATCATGTAGTGTGGACGCGGACGGGGACGGGGACGACAAGACTATAGCAATAGCTTTCTTGCACTAAAGTGCAGGCGAGCTAAAAAGGAATTTTGGAAGCAGAATACCTGACATGCGTTGCACTATCATCATTAACCAACCTTTTCCTTTCAGAACAAATAACATACGAAGTGAATTTAACTTTTCCAATTTTGTCTTGCACAAGGGCTAGTTCTCAGCTCGCAAACTGAGGAAACATTGAAGAATCTTTAAAAAACCACAATGTAAGACTTCATAGAAAAATCGCGAGAAATAACATTGAATTTGGCTTACCACAAGTCGTATCTCCGATGCAATAGACGTCCGATAGCGATTGTCATAATGAGTTTTTATTTGGTACACTAATATATTGAATATTCGTTCTGCAATTACATAATAGGAAAGAGAGAATAAAAAAATTATATTTTATATAACACTAGTGGTAAATGAATGATAAATGGAACTGTACAGCAAAATAGGCTATTACTCCCGACAATAATGTTGCACAGAAGCAAGACATTAAATATTCAGAAATATTTGGGCTAAAGACCCCGGAATACAACTAAACGATAGCAGTTGAAACGATTGTTTGAATAGTATATTCCAACCAGCATATAGTTATAACCTGCATTGTATTATAAGTAAAAACAATAATCAAAATAATAGGTTGCTTTGTTATCTCAAATTACTCACCCATAGCAAGATATATTTTAAAATTCCATATCTTTTTGCTTCTTTGGTACTCTGTTGTCTTCGAATCGTCCCAATTTTACATGTTATCAATCTGTTGTAATTCTGAGTAATTCTTGGGCTAGGATGTGCAAAAGAATCGAAGAAATAGCATTTCATAAGTGCTAAGCGATAATCGTTGGTAAGCACGTGCTTAAGACAAGCTCGAATCGGAACTAGGTCAGAATTTCAGCTTTTTGCCCGAATTTGTTTTCCATATTTTTTATTATTGTGAAATATTATTGCCGGTGATGCGATAATTCATATCATCAGGTATGTTTATATAAAAAATCGGCAAAAATCTTCTAAAGGTTCGATTTTGACGCTAAATATATCAAAATAGTACTGAATATTTGAACTAAACCACTGCAACCGGTTTCGTTTGCATTTTGGGCAATATCCTAAGGATTAGGCCGCTTTGATGTGTAATATTGAATATATAAAACGCGTGAATATCATACCTGTGAATAGCTATTTATGCATGGCGGTAAAACGCCATATTTCCACTGGAATTTGCAATATTTAGCCTTGAAATTTACCATATTTGCGATTTTGTCAGTTTTTTATATTTACTATTATTCAATGCCATGCCCAATTCGACAATATTCTGAAAGGTTCAGTAGTTAAATGTACCACATAATTCAAATGCTACAACAGTTTGAAAGATTTATTTGCCTTTTAAATTCCGACTTTCCTACTCGATGGGGTTCTAAAGCTGGTAGGGAAATAAAGCCTTTTAATAATGATTGAACTGTAATTTTTTGAACTTTATGAGAGAAATAATCGAACAAATACACACATACTATGATACATTGGCTTGGAATATGCTCCAAAACGTGTGAAATCGAACATTTGTTGTGCAATCACCTTGCAAATATCACAGAAACGGGATCAAAATTTGAATATAGATTAACCAATCTGATTGGTTTTTATTGAACCAATCATGGAGTACAAAAATTGACCAATGACAGATTGACCTGTGCACAGAAATAACCAATCAAGTTGTCTTAATTTTGCTCAATTATGCAAGAGCCTACAGGCTATAAAACAGAGCCATCTGCGACCGTTTTCTTCAGGTAAGTGAGTTCTTTCTTTAGGGAGGATCAAGGTATGTGTAATTATTTTTTAATAGAAGTAGATCCCCGTGGCCACTCTGTTAGCTAAGAATCTCTGTCCCCGTATCTGGAAACACGGCTCACTGCTTGTCTAACTGTGTTTTGCTCTTCGTTTTCTAGGGAGCTACTAATAATATTTTTTGTGTTTTTCAGACAAAGACGATCGTAGTTTAGTTTCAGTATCCAACCCTAAGAAGCCACCCCATATCCATGCCGTCAGTTAAACCCCTAGCCACAATTGCCTTCAAGCTAATTGTGAATGCTTGCTTTTCTAGGAACAACTCACCATATTTTTTGTCGTTTCAGCTACAGAGTTAGTGGGTTGTGGGTTGTTGGATGTTGTGTCGTCGGTTGTGTGTTTTGTGTTGTGCGTTCGTATTGTCTGCCAGTCGGTTTGCGAGTTGCCTTGTAGCTCTCGCTTTTTCCTGGCCACACAAAGAACACATTTCGGATACTCCTTTTTAGGAGATTGGGTTCGACTCCATGAATGTGTCAATTTTGCACTGATATCTAATGTGGTCCGTCTTTAATACAAAAGCACAACATCCAACGGACAATCTGCATCCTTTCACCACACCAACTACAAGTGTTGTCCTCATACAACAGAATGAAACTTCCAACAGAGTAAGGAGTAACCAATACCCAAGATGAAGTTCTCGTAACTTCTCAAACAGGACAGGATGCGGCATTTGTTAATGAAGTATTCTCGATGTTTAAGGGATCCTCTTAGTTAGACGTCCGATCAGAGGATATTTCAAAGTGGTAAGCTGATTTAAACTTGTGATTACTGTGCGAATACTTCACCCATTTTAATAAATATGAGACCACTAAACTCATTGCTGTCTGCTCGTAAACGGCGCACACAGATAATTTCGATTTTATCTAGAAGTATTTTATCAAATCAACTAGAAATTGTGTTATCTCAAAGAAAAAACATTTACCTATTTGTATAAATTTAGTTCATTTCAAAAGCTTTCGTATAAGCCAAGATATTTATTGCCGAACTTGTACTTTTTAAATTGAATTTTAGAGAAGCGAAAATACGCAAAGCCTTCCAAAAATCTCGCCTAAAAACCTCCAAATATTTCTAGTATACATTGGGATCAATATTTTCATCTATTTTACTTGAAATACAGTCGCTTTGGCGATTTGTAGTGATATTTCCAACAAACGTGTTTACAAATGGACCGGAAAATGTGCATTTAATTATCACCATATTGTCGAAAATTTGACTTCTAGGGACAATTTTACCCCGGTGTGACGCGAAATCTCTGACCTGCGAAATCTTTGACTTTTGCGTTTCTGCACATGCGCAATGATATGCATAATTTATTTTTGCTCATAAATTTCGCAAGTGTTCGGCTACAGAACGGTGCGTCTTAACACAGCCTTAAAAGCTTTCTTTTAATCGTTTAATTGTTGTTAAATGGCTAATTTTACGACTGAGACCAATACTGCCAGTGTCGATACAAAGCCTAAAACAAAGATAAATAAACACAAGGTATGTAGAACTTGGATTTTATAGCGATCGAACACCGCACAATTTAGTCAGGACGCCTCTGACTTTTATTTTCTCTCGAATTTTGAATGCCATGAAAGAATATAAAGTTTGTTTGCGAAAAAATTTTCTTGTTATTTCATAAAAATAGGTTTCTTTACAAGATGTTCTGGAGTTCCTGAAGTCAGGACGCCAGATGCCAGCGCACTTGGAAAATTTGGAGAAGACCACGAGGAGAAAAGCCTTCCATGCGCTTTCAGAATTCTCAAGAAACTTTGTGTATGAAGGTATGGTATTGGCAAGGCATAGCAAAGTCTGTGTGATCTTTGTGCTTTTTAAATGATATTAGTAAAGCTTAAAATCATTTTTTCATCGATATAGCTGTTATTATTTACTTGGTTTTTACTTGGCTTTGGGTGGATTTGTGTTGATTTATTTTATGCTTTGGATTTACTGGAAATATATTGCTTGGCATTATTGTGGCCAGAGCCAAGTTTCCTCATCAAAGATTTGCAATGGATTGTCTATGATTTATTTCATTCCTACTGGGTATTGTTGCTTGGTATTATTCATTGGAAAATGAATTCCAACTTAGTGAAAACTAGCTGTAAGTTACACAACAGACTGAACAGAGTGGGAGGATACAGTATATTATGTTTTGTTTACATTTAACATTAGTGAATGAATGAATAGCACTAATTATAATACTAATTTTAGAAATAAATAACAGTCTTTATTACATTGGTCAACATGGAAAGAAAGGCGAAAAACGATCAGTACCAAAAAAAGCAAAGGTACTATTTAACAGGGATGAGGTTAGTATAGTATGCATTATGCAATTAGTAAATTAGTAAAATACCCATGTAAATTCACCACTTATAACTTGTTTTAGATTGATCGTGTACTTAATGATATCCATGGCAATGGCTTGTCTGGAGGGCACATGGGTGAGAAGCGCACTCAGGCAAACATCTCAGAACGCTTTTATTGGAGATCAATCACAGAAGATGTAAAGGAGTTTGTAAGTGTGCCCCCATGTGTATTTCGGTGATAAGGATACCAATAAAATAGTACAATTCTGAACATTTCATTGTTTTTATTTTAGATTGCTACTTGCCCTCAGTGTCAGAAGACCCAGAAGATCAAGACAATGGTGCCTGAATTAAAGCCAATTTATGTATGTTATTTCTTATAATATATATATATATATATATATATATATATATATATATATAATATATATATATATATATATATATATATTTCCTATATGATATCCAAATATAAATGATTATTAATTCAGACTATTTACTTAAATTTGGTTGCAGGCTAAGCAACCATGGGAACTTGTTGGTATTGACCTGATTGGTCCATTTAAAGAAACATCATCTGGTTTCAAATATGTCCTGTCAGGGACATGCCTTTTTTCAAAGTGGGTTGAGGCTGAGCCTATAAAGTCGAAATCAGCAGAATGCATCTATCAAGGCTTGGTGAAGTGGATCCACCGCTGGGGTGCCCCACTAAAAATTTTGAGTGATCAAGGGAAAGAGTTCAACAATAAAGTATGTACACTTTTGTGAGCAATTTTGTGAAAAAACTTCTCATTAAACATTATGATTATAAGTAATAGTAGAAATTGGAGGTTGATTAGTGATTAAATGTACCCATAAACCTTACTATTTAAACTATTTTTTTCAGATGCTGAACGATTTAATATTCCAAAAGTTTAATATCCGTCATCTTGTTACTGCTGCATATCATCCACAAACAAACGGTCAAGATGAGCGAACCAATGGTACCCTAAAACGTCATCTGTCAAAGGTATATTGTATATGTTAATTTATATTGCATGTTGTGGTAGTATGTTTATTAATTGGGTGCAGGCCTCAGAAAATTTTTGCACTTCCCCAAACAAACTTAATCAGTTATGATTTGATAACATTTTGCTCTTGTTGTAGATGGTTAATGAACAGCAAGATGACTGGGACATGTTCGTGGAACAAGCATGCTGGGGTGTTCGTTCGTCATACAATGAATCAACCAAACATACCCCCTATGAAGTGATGCATATAAGAAAGCCTCGATTCCCATCTGAACTGCCTGAGGAAGAAGAAGAAAGCCTTACTCCAATAAGCCTTGAAGAACCCACCCCTAATGAAGTGGCTGACTATGTTAAAAACAAACAGGAACAGCTCATGACAGTGGAAGCCAAGGTGGGTTGTGCTATGTATATTAATTAAGAAAAGGTGCACATGTCTGCACACAAATTTACATTGTTATTTTGTAAAAGTTCTCAATACTGTGTGTACCACTGACATCTATCCCAGATAAACACTTTTTACTTACACACTTTTTACTTACTAAATTCTTTTGTTGTCAGGTTACTGCTAATAACACACTGGCTAAAGAAAAAATGAAAAAATATTACAAGTTGAAGAAAATGAAAGGATTCAAAGCCTATAAATTTCATATTGGCCAAGCTGTCATGAAAGCTAACCCAAAGAAACTTGGAGGCAGAAAGGGTGACCGTATGACACCTGATTGGCTTAGTGGCTATGTTGTAGAGTCATTGACAGATCAACATGCTGTACTGCGTAATATCAAGACCAACAAGGTTCTGAAAAGTGTCAGCCTTGTTCACGTCAAACCTTTCAGAGAAAGAGGTGTTCCTGGCGAAGATGTGGAAAGTGCTGATGAGGTGGATAGTATTGGTGATGAGATGGATGACAAGGGTGGTGTTAGTGACAAGGTTGGTGTTAGTGGTAAGGTTGGTGTTAGTGGTAAGGTTGGTGTTAGTGGTGAGGTTGGTGTTGGTGACAAGGTTGGTGTTAGTGACAAGGTTGGTGTTAGTGACAAGGTTGGTGTTAGTGGTAAGGTTGGTGTTAGTGGTAAGGTTGGTGTTAGTGGTGAGGTTGGTGTTGGTGACAAGGTTGGTGTTAGTGACAAGGTTGGTGTTAGTGACAAGGTTGGTGTTAGTGGTAAGGTTGGTGTTAGTGGTAAGGTTGGTGTTGGTGGTGAGGTTGGTGTTAGTGACAAGGTTGGTGTCAGTGGTAAGGTTGGTGTTGGTGGTAGGGTTGGTGTTAGTGGTAAGGTTGGTGTTGGTGGTGAGGTTGGTGTTAATGACAAGGTTGGTGTTAGTGGTAAGGTTGGTGTTGGTGACAAGGTTGGTGTTGAGGTTGGTGTTAGTAATGAGATTGGTGTTAATGCTGAGGTTAAAGTTAGTGGTGAAGATGGTGTAAGTGGTAAGGTTACTGGTAAGGTCACTGGCAAGGTTGTTGATGTTAAAGTTGCTGGGAATGACTCTGATGAGGTTGCCAAGTTCTCTGTTCAGGTTGAACGCCTTAAGCTATTGGCTAACAGAGGTAAACAACTGTGTGAGCCTTATCTTGATTTTGGGCCAGTTCAATTGGCAAGGAGAGACATATGGTCCCTCATACCACCGCAAGAGGTTCCATCTCAGGAGTTAAAGCTGTTGAAACAAGAAGTTCCTGATTATACGCCTGGATGGTTATCTGATAGGGTAAGCTAGGTGTTAAGGATAATCTAGCTACTTTATTTAGGAATGTCTCAAAATGTCTAAAAAATAACAATTTTACATTGTCAATCTTTTGAGAGATTACCAAAAATAAAAAAAAATAGAGTTGAAGTTTGGTATATACAGAATATGTTATTAATAATATATTGATATACCTTGTATACTGTAGGTCATTGATGCTTATTTTTGGAGTCTGACAGAGGAGACACATGGAACTGCCTTTGCTGCTGAATGTTATATTTCCCAGATAGTCCAAGCCAATTCTAGTACTAGACGTACATGGTCTGATATTGACTTCAGTTTGGTTGAGAAGATCCTGTTTCCCATCAACTTTACTGGAAACCACTGGACATTATTGGTTAGTATATAATTAAATATAATTTTAGATACCTGTTTATCAGCTACAAACTGTTTAATTAGCATAGTACAGTGAGTATAACCAGAACGTTTTATTCATCACACTTGATTTTGCATAGTTGTTGGACAAAAATTTGGAGCAACGATTATACATTGACTCCCTTAAGAGTGGAAAACCATCAAAAGCATTGATGGATCATATTAACAAATTAAGGTATTGTACATCAAATGTAAAAACCATTACCAATCAGATTAATAATCTTAGTAATACTACTAATAATAAGCTGTTTCATACCATAATGATTAAACATTTCTTTTTTAGTGATTTAGTTCATATCAAGACCAAATGGAATGCAAGGTCATGGAAATGTTTGCAACCTAGCCACTGTAAACAGCTTGATAGCTATAACTGCGGTATATATGTTTGCTATGTGAGTATTTCAAATAATACAAATTTGTATAGAGATCTAATGTGAATTCTTATATTGCAGGACAATATAATTTTTAATTGTATTTATTTATACAGTACAATGTGCATTCATGTAAATTTGGCCTAATTTCCTTGTGTATCAAAACATGTAATTAAACCTATAATATTTTATTATTATTTCATAGTTTGCACAATGTCTCATCCAAGGGGCAAATATGACGAAGAAACTTCGACCAGTTGATTTGGCTATTCAACGCCAACACATATTTGAAACCATATGTGGGTCATGCTACGATGACATTGACAGGTAAATCAAATGTTTGTTTTGTTTTACTGAGTACCAATGAGCAAAATTGGGCTTGGGAGTACAGTCAAATCTTTTATATTTTTATAGTGGACGAAATGCAAGTGTCTGCAAAATCTGCAGGGGGGATGGTGGAGATGACTGGCTGGGTTGTGACAGATGTTGTCAATTTTTCCATGCAAGCTGTATTGGTGTGGACTTTGCAACTGCCCTTGCAGAAAACTTTTATTGTTAAGCTTCATTAGAGTGTTTAGAAATTTTTTTATGTATTTTATTAGAAATGTAGTACTTGTGCCTGTACAAATTAAGTGTAAATATATAGTTTAATTGTAAATAACTAACCTCTGGATGTAAATAATTATGTAAATGCAGTTGCAAGAAATTAAGATAATAATAGTAATGAGTTTGAATATTTCTTTAATGTCATTGTTGAAAGTATAAATAATACCATCACAGGTTAATAAATCACTATCATGAATGTCCTGAATAGTACTATTGCTGTCTGACAACGTTGTGTTAATTACTAAAGAACAACACCCTAATATCTCAACATATCAACTTAAATATCTCAATATATTATTTTTACATTCAAGTTGTTGATGTCAAAGGTCTGGTCCTCTGGACAGTGGACATTGAGCATGTACATACATGTGCACATGTTGACATACCTATGTGGTCATGTGGACAAATATATAAGCTATTTAGGTATAATATCACATATGAAAGTTGCAGTTCACACACGACTCATATTGAATATACAATATACATGTAGGTGGCCAAATATAGACTATAGTCACATTAATTTCAAACATTTATTTGCCAAATATTTCCTAAACCAAAGCTGAAAATTACATTGTCTTACATATTTTTTGAGAACAAAGTAATACTTTATAAATAGAAATACTTTATACCTACTACCTTAGAACATATAACATTTAATATGAAATATAAATGTAATATAAATTATAAAGATCGGCCGAGGTCGGTAATTTCGCGAAGGTCAGAGATTTCGCGTGTACACGCGCGAAATCTCTGACCGGTCACGCGAGGTCAGAGATTTCGCACTGGTCAGAGATTTCGCTTGACACCGGAAATCGATTACCGGGCTTATTTTACCCCCACAGGGTAGGCAACGTTACCTTTTTGATACCTCTAACCTCAGGTGACAACCACATGTGCGTGCGGTTGAGCAACGCCTCGCTATACACAATAACAAATAAAAAAAGCTATATTTTTCGAGTTTTTCTGCCCATCCTGACTTAAAAACTATCAGAAAAGATCACTAAAGCCTTTACAGTTTACATGTAACGGTTAAAAGACGACAGGATAAATAATAACGAAGAAAATAACGAAATTCCAAAGGCGAATTATATTTCCGTTTGTAATCCCGTGTAATTTGGTATGATTTTTAGACCTGCACTGCAGTGTCAGGTTAACAGCAATATTGATTAATTTCTGGATTAAAACAGAAGCGATTGGGTTAAAGTATTTTTCTTTAGCTATATTTTGGTGGTATTTTTGTGCTTTTTAAATTAAACGGATTAATTTAAACATTAAAAAACCATGATAATTTCATGATATCTGGTGATGGGAGGCATGACAAGAATTATGCCTACACAACATTTTGCTGTACAGTTCGATATGTCATTCATTTTACACTGGTGTTATTAAAAATAGATTTATTTTCTCCCTTTCCTATTATGTAATTGCCAATTACCAATATACAGGGGTTGGGGGCATTATGTGAATATGAAAGAAAACAGCCTGCATTTTGTTCTGTATATTCTTTTTGTTATAGAAGTCACAAAATACATGCTGTTACTATACAGTATAGGGCCTTGTGATTCACATACAATTATAGTTTCAATTGTGTGAAAGTGAAGTTCTTGTAATCTCAATTGTAGATTCTATTGCATATAGAGCCGAATTGGTATGGCAACATATCTTTGAGAATTGAAGTTTATGGCGGTTCTTCAGGTATGTTCTAGCAATTCACTGAAGTACTATTTGTTCGCTAAGGAATGTTGTCCCATGGTAGCAGTACGCACAAACCTGGGATATCACAATGCTGATAGCCTCACAACTATGGACAATAATATATTAATTTACTTGTTCCTTGTTTCTCAATTTTAGATCAAATAAATTATGGCAACCCAGGAGTCGCTAACAATTATTACCTTTCTCTTATCACTGACTACACCTCCATCCATCGCTGTGCCATACATGGATTTGATGGACTGACATACCAAGCAAGGTAAATATTGCAGGCTACATTGGTATATGTTCAGTTTATTATTATGTCATATTAAGACTGTTGGACATTATTTTTTTATTCAGTAATTCCCCTATATGGGAATGTGATAAAATTCGAAGTTAACCCCCAGTAAAGATTTCACAAAATCAATTGAAATAACGCTGTACCTCGACTGGTTTCAATTCTGGAGGCCCCATATATGGCACAATTATCTGCATTATCGTTTCATTTTTGTTGATGATTGTTTCGATGGTGTTTTGGTGCCGGAAGATAGAATAATTGATACTAATTATTGCCCCCCGTACTGAAGACACATAACATCTCAGATAATAGCAACAAGTGTTGGGAATGCGGATAAGTCGACAGGACATGGTCGCTTAAATGAGGCAGCTTCTTGATCTGCACGGAAAAATTACCAGGACCAATGCATTTAAATTGACTTCGGCAAGAAAGATGTTGTTGGAGCGATTTCACTCAAAGTCGCCGTAATTATGATTAGCGGGTGAAGACCTACTCTGTATCCTTTAGTTCCGACAGGCAAAAGTTCGCTCATTACAAAATAAATTGATTAGTCAGGGTTAGCTGGATTAATAAGCAAGGCTCCTACAGATTACCCTCTCACGTTATATGCATCACATCATTTCCATGCGGTCATATATAACTTTTAATGTGTGATTAAGATTAATTGTTTAACAAATTACTCATTTCATTAGAGACTCACTAGTTGAAAATGTCCTATCACCAACTGTAACCGCGCTTTACATCCGCATTCATCCAAAGACATGGTACGCAACATATCTTTGAGAATTGAAGTTTATAGCTGTTCTTTAGGTATGTTCTAGCAATTCACTGAAATACTATTTGTTCACTCAGGAATAAGAAATGACTGAGAGATCCATCTGACTGAAATATATAGCAAAAATATTTCAATAAGTGGCTTATATAAGAGTGAGTTTTTGATTTAGAAATAAATTGTTTACACGATGAATTTTTTTTCTATTTTTCAATTCTTACCCCTCCAGTGGGTTTGTCAGGTTTTTTACTAACTTAGGTGCATTGGAATACAAGTAAAAATAAGGGTGTTTTAGAAGTTATACCTGGACGGGGAATCCAGCATATCATTATGAGGAACAAAGCTATTATAGCGGTATATACTCAGGGCTATCACAATCAAGTTTAGTGTTATCGCTTGATTTTAATGTTTGCTGCACGGTCGGATTTTCGCATTTAAAAGAAAATCAAGCGAAAAGTTTTACACGTACAAAAGTATAGGTATGGAACTGTTCTTTAATTTATCGGAAGAACTAGCGCGTTTTTAACCCACCACGTGTGTCAATGAGGATGCATATTCCTTCGATGTGATCTTACAGCAAGCATTTTCAGCCATGCTATGCAAATTTTATGTTATTATCATATTAATTTCTTTAGAAATCCATTGTTTTCACAGTGAATGAACTCCAAAATATTAGCAGAGCATGACTAAATTGTCGTGTTAGCTACGCAACTGAGTATTTTATTTGCTCGCAGAGACACGTCTGTCGAACGTGACCGTCGGCTAGTCTTCACCATGAACGCAAAAAACGTTCGCAGAATGCGCTCTGCTTTCGTGAAACGAAATCACGGACAAAACTCGGAATTGAGATTAAGTTCAATACACAAGCGACACAAACCTTTATAAGAGTTTCGTCATCCGAGGCACACAATAAAACATTTTCTGGCTAGAGAAGAAAAAGTTAAATTATGGTAATTAAAGATTAGGATATAAAGACAGTAATGATTAATAAATGAGTGCGCGTTTACCTTCCAATCCCTGTGGGTGATGCCATTTTCATGTAAGTGCAAAAAATACGAAACAGTATGAATAAAGTTAGTTTAGTTCAGGCTCCTGTAGTAACACTGGATCAATAACAGATGATCCTTAGCTTGGTATCATTAAAAGCGCCAATCTCTTCCTAACATTTTCCATAAACTTTAGTCATCGCCTGTGAATAAAATATTCCAACTTGTTTCATTCATTCTTCGAAGTCTACACATAGCTAGACTCTCGCTAAACGACATCCCCACCTGAAGGCACATTGCTTTCATAGTTGGTTTAGTTGTCAATCGGAATCTGTGGTACAGATCGTTAAACAACTCGAGCCTGAAAACAAAATAGAAAAGTCGATCGAATCGTGAATTGTTTCATCCATGATTCTATACTTCTCTACTACATACTGCAGGACAAATAACATTGTGTGAACTGTGCAGCAATATGGAGAATAGGACGCTAAGGTATATTATATATTAGGTATCTGGAATCGTTTTTATGCAGCGGGAAGCAGGACAGTAGTTTGAATATTTGCAAATCCTGATAGATAAATGTCGTGGACTCACACATTTGTTATCGGTGTTTCCCCGTCGTTTTGTTCCAACAAGACTCTCAAATAATAGTCGCCTGATAGGAGAGATACGTTACTGAGTTTGATTATTGCTATGGAGAGATAGGGGGAGGGCGCTTTAAAAAGAACTGTTAAAAAGCTAGAGCAGTATAAGGATTATCACTAACCTATTTTCAGTTGATCAGGTAACCATTCATACAAGACTTCAAACTAAAGGTGATTCCAAAAAACAACGTAGTTTCCACTCAGATCTTTTTCCATTGCAAATGCGCGCAACTCAGATTCGAGAGCCCCAGAAGTTCCTCTCGCGTTTGTCACATTGAAAACAAAAGAAATTGTTTCAAACTCTTTTACGAGAAACAGTTTAGAGAAAGAGGTCAGGACTATTGAATTTGTCTTGTTATACTCATAGCGACAGGAAATCCTCCATTACCTTTTCATTTCCTATATTTTCAACGGAAACTAACCTTAACTTCGAGACTCACCTTGTAATTCCAAATCAGGTTGTACGCTTTCAGATCTTGACTGAATCTGTAAAAAAGATCCGTTTAAATACCATTGCTTTTTTATCTTTCAAACGACTAGAACATTTTCCCATTTTCTTAATATGAACACTTACTTGTAATAAAACAACTGGATTTAAATTCTCACATCTTTCCTGAATTTGAACCCTATTTTTGTCCTCCAATGCGAGAGATATCCTTCAAGTTTATTCCTCGACGTTCCTCTCGCTTCTCCAGAGCTCTAACAGACAAGTATAGCACGTGAAATAACAGGCTAATACGTACATACAAGCATGCATTATGAAATTTTGGAACACGATTGTTGCCTTAAAACGTACTCTGCAAGCTTTACATTGTCACGAATTGATTAATAATCTTCTTTAGTCTCTGGTGGCTAAAGGAAAGATAAAAACTTTCCAACAAAATTGTTTCTTTACAAAAAGGTTTTACACTTCTGAATGAATTACCTTTTAATTATTTCGTCAGTGGGACAATTTAAGGATGAATGATGGAGTTTAGTTACCAAAGCAGTTGATACCACTTAGTCACTATTACATAATTGTTTATGAACCAAAACTTACGAACAGGAAATCTCGCATTTAAACTTTATTGTATATTTTAGACATTAAAAACTATAACTACTTTAATACGAACATTATTCTCAAAAGTAATGCCATTGCTGTTGGATGACCAGTTGTCCAGAGAGCCACAAGATATCCACTCAATTGCCTATATGCCAACAATAAAGATTATAAATTACTTATGGAGTATGCTTGTTAGTCTCAATTGAACTATTTACAGATGGCTAGTATATAGAGGATTATAAAATCACAAGTTTTAAGATGAATCTAAGAATGTTGCTAAAATGTTGCTGGTTGAGTAAACAGCGTGTGTCGTGGTTAAAGATAAACGTTTCTCACCTAGTGAGCGTTGTGAAAGCGCGAAACCTGCTTTGGATCGAACCCAACTTCTCAAATCGTGAAACAGTGCTTCGAGATCTTTATCTCATATTTTGTTTTGGTCTCCTGCAAATAGACGAAACTTTTTAACTATTTTATGTATATATAGAACACCTGTGAAGGTAATAGCACTCAGAATATGTATATTTTTGGGTTGAACACTAAATAAATTTATTGGCAGAGATATACAATACCTTTGTGAGCAATGAGCATTTTGATAAGTCTTTCTTTATTCTATGAGAAAAGTCCCTACAAAATATTTAAAATCGTTTGAAATATATATTGGAGTTTAAAAGACTTAATATTCCAGCCGTACTTCTGGCGGGAAAATTTCAAAACTACCATTTCATGGATTCGGACCCAGTTCAACTCAGCAACCAGAGTTACCGCAGCCTAGTCCCTAGGCTTCTTAATGTTCCTTATACGCGGCGAGGCGGGAACTGAGAGGCCTAGAACAAAATGTTTTGTATTTTAGCTAAAGTCGGGACTTTTTGTCCCCACTTTCTGTATTGAGGTCAGTTTACGATCTACGACGCGGTTAACTGGCCTTGTTCGACGTCGTTAGTCAAACATTTGCTTGAAATAAGCTACGGGATATTAATTATATTGCCAGGAGTCGAAATATTCATACAAACGTTTCAATGTCGCTCGCCGTCAACGCTATCGACTATCAAGTAAACTCGAGTCAGTACGTACATGTTTATGATTATAATAAACTTCAATCCACCAATTAACAATTATTGGATGAGGTTGAGTGTGATATCGAGAATTATCAAGCTGAAGTTTGCGTTATTTGCCGAAGCGAAGCTGAGGCGGATAACGCAAACTGAGGCTTGATAATTCTCGATATCATGCGAAAACCGAATTCAATAATTGTTTTATTATGTATTTCCTTTTTAAAGACGAAGTTTAACAACAAACTAGCGGTAAAAATTACGTCACCTACGGATAATTTTCAATGTCGTGTAGGTGGCAAGACATTGAGAATTATCTGTAGCTTTTTAGCCAATCACAATCGATATTGCCTTAGCAATGCATAATAATTTAAATTATTCTCGCTTCCTTTATAACGGTTACTGTTGTAAATTGCAAACATTTACTTTAATAACAATTCTAATTTCAAGTTCACAACATTAAACGGGCCGTTAAGATTAGAAAATATTTTGTGTTAGGCCTCTCGCGCGCGTTTCATTCGGTAACGAGACGGAAATATAAAACACGCGCAATGAGAGGTCTGGGACTAGGCTGGAGTTACGGCGGTTTTTAGGGAGTACTATTAGTGTTTTGTGTACATTTGTGCACAGAACAGTAGCAGGATAGGGTATTTTTATTAAAGCCATACTCTTTGCCTTTGGCTATACTGGATAAACCAGTTTAAATGTACCGTGTTGTTTGCAGACATTTTAAACCCTGCTAAATGTTTTCAATTAGCAGCCGAAATGGGCAAATGTTTTCATTTAACGTAACTGTGCAGCCTAGCAATCGTTTAGTTTACACTAAAGGCTGCTTTCTATATACGCGTTTTTTATACGCATGTACACATACGGAGAATTTTAATTGCTTTTAAATTTTTATTAATTAACATGCATCTAGGTCGATTTATTCACTTAGTTTTTTCAAAGGTAACATGTATAAGAATTTAGATTTTTATGTGCGTGTACGTGCGTATGAAAAACACGTGAGTGGAAAACAGCCTTAATCCAGATTTTGACAAAACATTAAAACTCAATAAAAAGGCAATAATATTCTCTACACAGGATTTCGTCTGCAGAAAAGTACAAGATAAGAAGTTGTCAACTTACGTCTTGGGTGACTGCATGAAGTAGACCGCAGTAGGAATATTGCAGTTAAATCTGTACACAGCTTCGGTTAAATTTCCTGCAAGGAACCAGTCATAAGACAATATAAGCTTTTGGAGATATTTCAAAAATTTAAAGTGAAATAAAAAGGGAAATATTTCACCTGGAGATGCAGCGAGGAATTTAAATGACTGCTTTCTACTTCTTCGTCAACAACATTATACAATGGACCCCAACGATAACCTTGAAAAATATATCATCTTAAAAAAAAATTCTTCTTTTGCTGTATGTGATGTATTGAACTGGCTAATAGGAATAACGCTATTAGCTGATACCTGACGAGAAGTGTAATTGTTGGTGTGTTATATGAGATCACATACGTCAGCAGGAGAATGAAATGAGGGATCCTATTTAGGGTAATCATAGCAGTACGAGATTTTCATCAGGAAAATTTTGACCATAATTTTCGCTCAATCATCTATGAATAAGCGTACAGTACTTCTCTTCGTTGGGGTCGTTTTTACGCAAACATCTATGTTTCAACTGGCTCTAACACCGTCTAGCAAACCAGCCAATAATGTTTCCCTAGATCGAGTGAAATACAAAAATTCAAAACAAGAAATATTTTTTTTAGCTTCATACAAAATTTGCTTTCTTACACTACCTGTCAGGAGACGAGTAATTTCTCAGCCGACCGCTTGTGTATTCCAGCCCGAACGACTGAGGATGGTTTCGATATCGAATTATTAAAAATATCTGACAGGAAAAGAAGTTTGAAAACTATGATATACTATACGGTATATACGGTATATTCTGGAAAGTAACTGGAAAAATAAAACTATTTTAACTCGGCTGGATACTTTTTTGCAATTGGACATGTTCAAAATGGAAACGTGAAATAAAAAAGACGATAAAAGCAGTAAACTTGAATCCAGGTCGGAAAACATTGAGTGTTTGGAGTGTTTTCTTTCAAGGTCAGATATGAACAATTACTGGAACTGACATGGAATGTCGCATGACTTAATGAGCTAAGGGGATGAAGGGTGACGATATTGTACGTTTCTAAGAAACACAGCGTTCTTTCAACAGGATCCTAAATTTGAGAGTGTCAAAACGATTTTAAAATGAAAAAAAGGATAGACTCTTAGAAGAATTTATTAACAACATAACTCACTTTACTCCGAGGAGTTTCTTTATAGACGCTGAATTCTGACATTGATGTGATATGTTCGTCATCACTGAAACAAAAAAATTGTCATTTACTGTCATATCCCACATTCTTTACACAGGACAAACGAAATACTGTCTTAATAATATATCATTCAACTGTATTTTCCAAATTTGTTTTAAAAAACGACTCCACTCTTCATGGAACTTTTCTTCTGCCTAAAACCGAGGCAAAAGAAATAACAAATACAGCTCAAAGTAAATTACAGACCTGGAAAAAATTTTGTCAAAAACGGTTAAAACGTAAACAAATAAAGTAACCTGAATATAAGTCATTTTGTCATTTACTTAAAATTTGTTTACTTAAAATGTTCACATACTTTATCGTAACACCAACATTATTGAAAGAAGATTCCATCATCTTTTTCAGCAATTCCTCTCTGATGTGAAAAGATGCTGGAAAACAAAAGCAAAATTGTGCACAAAATGTAAAACTTCCATTTACAGAAATAACTGGTATCTTATCTTTTTGTTATATTATGGCTGGTACTAGCAACATCTGGTACATACCATTGTGCTAAAACCACCACAGACAACAACAAATCCTTTAGGATAATCTGAGATCTAAGTATAGAAATGGAATGAAAGCCTGAGTTGAATTATTCCAATCACAAATATTCAAATGTCTGGCAATATCAAGTATATATATATATATATATATGAAGACACAGGTAAGTTATCAAGAAACTTGAAAACAATAATAGTACCTCTAACGTCACTGGAACCTTTCGTTCACTCCAATGTAATTTATACCACTAATCTTCTGCACAAAAATATGGCATATGTTGATGTGGAAATAGTTTGGAAACATTAGCTTTAGCTAGCTTATCACTTATTAAAGAACCCACTTATTAAATTAGAAATGGAATATGGGTCTAATTTTTGAAAGAGAGAGGGGGGGGCATTGATACCATGATGAATTACGATTTGGAATTCATTGTGAATAGTTTCATTTTATACAACTGGAACGATAAGTCCTGACAAAAATCCCTATTTAGCTTGAAGCCAAAATAGTTCCCCGTACTAATCCTAATGCAGCCTCTTTGATGTCTTTCTACGCTGTTTCATCCTGAGGCTGCAGCAACAAAGACAATTTACAGTGATTAGATGTAATTATATGTCTCTAGATGTTCCTACAAATACCTTGCAGTCTCTATAATTACCTTACATGTTCTTTACACGACGGCTTGACGTATCGCTTGAGAGGATCTACTGGACAGTGGCAATCTGGAATTGATAAATGAAATATATATCCTTTTACTTCACTGACGCGTTTGCATTCACGACTCCCGTGTAAAACGATCCAATTTGCGGATATATAGTTGGGTTCAGGTTAGGAAGCTTTCACTGATAAGAGAGAGTTTTCTATTGAGTACAGTATCAATCACGAATGAAGAGGCAAATTGGAGTGGAGAAATGAAACCGTCTGAAAAGGATTGTATCAGTACCTTCTCGATTGTATGCAAAACATCGCAAACTTTCGGTGAATCAGAGGATGCAATAACATCGACCAGAAGCTGGACACCTCGGATCTGCACAAAAATATCCCGATCTTTCGCAATGTGGTCTAAATGTGGCAACACTGAATTCTCAAGTATTTCTCCCTGTAAAAAACAAGGAGTTACAAAACTAGAAAAAGATTCATAATATCGCTAATGTACGGTGGCCCAGAGGTGCAAAACACAAACGCAAATTCAAAACACAAACGCAAATTCAAAAACACAAACGCAAATTCAAAAACATAAACGCAAATTCAAAAACATAAACGCAAATCATGAAAGCACGAACGCAAATTCAAAACAGAAACGCAAATTCAAAACACGAACGCAAATTCAAAACACGAACACAAATTCAAAACACAAACGCAAATTCAAAACACAAACGCAAATTCAAAACACAAACGCAAATTCAAAACACAAACGCAAATATTTAATTATTTATCTAAATCCAAAACGACCTAGCGCACCACAAATTTAAAGTCAACAAGGATAAGTCTATTAATATTATTAATTATTGTTGCAAAGTATAATACATTTATAAATGCATTTTTGTCTTTTGGCCTAGTAAAATATAAAATATTGATATGGAGAAAGCGATCCGTTTTTACTACGGAAGAAATTTTAAGTACAAAACGATACTGGAATGTTTAGAAAAATATCATGATATCAAAATATGTAAAAGAGCGCTCATCACCAGATTACAGGAGTATGGTTTGGGAAGAAGAAAATACAACGCGAATGAAGAACAAGTTAGAGAATGCGTTCAAAGAGAACTACATGAAAATGGCAACCTCTTAGGATACAGATCAATGTGGAGGAAACTGCAATCAAAATATGGCATGCGTGTGCGCCGTTCAACAGCTCAAAGTATCTTAAAGGTGCTTAATCCTGAAGGTTGTGCAGTAAGAAAAGCTCATAAGCTGCAGCGGAGGGAGTATTTAAATCCTGGTCCAAACTTTACCTGGCATGCCGATGGGTACGATAAACTCAAACAGTTTGGGTTTCCCATTCACGGCTGCATTGATGGGTTTAGCAGGCGAATTATGTGGTTAGAGATCGTTCGAACAAATAACAACCCTCGGGTCATTGGAGGATTATTTCTTGATTGTGTTAAATCCCAAAACGGTTGCCCAACAATTCTACGAACGGACAAAGGGACTGAAAATAGTATAATGGGCACTGCTCAGTGCAACTTACGTCGAAACCACAGAGATCACTATAATGGGATAAAAGCACATCGCTATGGATCGTCACACAGCAATCAGCGTATAGAGGCGTGGTGGGCCATGCTACGTCGGTCGTGGGCATCGTGGTGGATTAATTTTTTTAAAGATTTGGTAGACAGAGGTATTGTTGACACAAGCAATATACTTCAGCTGGAATGTCTTTGGTTTTGTTTCATTAAAGTGATGAGGGATTCCCTAAAGGCTATTAAAAAGTCCTGGAATGCCTATTATGTTAGAAAATCCAGATACCACACTACTCATGGCATTTCTGATCAACTTTTTTTCTTGCCCGAGTCAGTTGACGCGGTTGATCATAAGGTGGAGTGCCTGCAACATGATATCCAAGCGATCGAAGGCAACGTTGCCGTTGAAGATGACGAAATACACAAAGTAATATTTTAATTATAATTTTTCAATATTACAACTGCAGGAGCCAACAACATGGAACGATTCTCTCAATGATTATCAGCTCAAGTGTGAACCAAGAAAAAACAACGAAAAAATCTAACAAACTAAGTGAATTCATATTCCAACGTAGTATAAACAAGTAGGGACCTTAAGCAACGAGAACACGAAAGAAAAACCACTTCAAAAACTTAGGCATATAAAACATAGACATATAAAAAACGCGTAACTGGAAAGCAGCTCTTAAGCTGACCTTTATCCTTACTGGTAAATGGGAGTACGAAAGTACAGTTAACGTCCAGGACGTCAACGTTATCGTTGCTTAAGTTGCCTAATATAAGCCATAGAATTATATAGGAAACACCTTTTTACAAATGGAGGAAATTGCTTGCAATTCCATGTCATAAGCAAAAATTTATCAGCCGAATGTATAGAAGCCACGAATTTCACCGCCAAAAGTTTACGAGGTTTCAAATTAAATTTAACGTTAATTGCTTCAATTGCCACCTATTTAAGTGTTCTTTGTTAAAACTGATAATATGAACTTTACAACAGTATATATAAACTTTACATATATAGTGTGTACTAAAAGTTTTAGTAACTAATATGCATGTTATAAGCAATATGAACAAATAATTCTTATG